GATGCCTTCCCCGGGGCCTGCCCAGCTTCACTGATGGCTGCATCTGGCGAGATGCCTAGACCCCGCCGCCAATTCCACCTGTCCACCTCATACTCAAAGGCCTTTCAGCAACAAGTATCTGTGCGAGACCGTCAAAATGACAGATCAAGTGTCGTTTCTCAACTACCTGCACTTACACGCCATCGACGCCTCACGGGCCTACTTGTTTGACGACTCATGTCCCCAGCTGGGAGGCCTTCATTCGCCAACTGCAAACAGACCTGAAGACATGCTTGTCTCGGCAGCGATCGATTGTCCGAGATCTTGATTGCTGGATCGCTGATGGGTTTTGACGATTTCGTGACACGCTGTCGGTTTTTGGCTGCACCAAGCTGCTGGGTTCCCCAGCGCATGCGCGCGATGCCTGGCAAAAGGCTCCCAATGCAGGCTCGGCAGACGTCCAAACAGCAACACCAAACGCGATCGTTATCGACGACAGTTCCTTTGGTTGGCCACCTCTTGAAAATCAAACTCTACACTCACCTTATGCTGGGGCCGACAAGCACTTGATCCTGCTGATACCCGATGCGATGTCACCACAGCAAACTTTCAACAGTCCATTCGCTTACGGAATACCATCTGTTGCCTAGCTCATGACCCTTGCTTGAACAGGCCGCACCTCACGCAAGCCCGAAAGCAAGAATACCGCCGTTGCGTTGTCGTCAACAGCGCTACGATGACAAGGAACTGGGTAGATTGCGATCGTGGTCTTCGTGCAGAAACAGAGCGCTATCCAGGTCGTGGGCGGCCGCATCAGGTTGAGAATCTGCAAAATGATGAAAACACTGGGTCGAGGTATCATGTGCTCACGGGGTGGATTACGGATGGGCACGAAGTGGGTGAAGTTATCGCATTCATGTTCGTGAGATGTGATTTCGGATTGAGTCGCAAAATGAGATGTAGCGCATCGCACAAAAGCATCGTCAGCGGGGTGCGTTGCCAGTCGTCGTCTGTGGAGACTGCAGCAGAGCTCCCCTTCGACAACATGCCTTACTCCGTACGCTCGATCGAGGAGAAAAGCGTCCCGACAGTCGGGCACCTGGTTCGACAAACACTTCAAGACAAACAAGCCACAATCGAGTTCGATGGGAGACATGTGTTGGCTCACGGTTACTGACGAGTTCCAAATTGACCGGATTGTCTCAGGCCAAACTCGGTTTCATCGCAAGTTGATTGTCTTCTTCATGGTCAAAGAAGGATACCTACAGTCTCGCATCATAAGGGAGGTGACTTACAGCGCGAGACAACTCTCTTGCGACGAACAAGGATGAGTCCTGTTCTTCAAGGTCAAAGCGAGTGACGAGGTCAGATGTGCAGAGATCAATCAGGAGGTTGGCAGGTTTTGTGACGCGACAGGTCTACAGCTTGTCAGGTGCTGTCATATATCACTTCTTACGAGATCTAGCGCCTCAGCCAGGAAAGGCAATAGTCACGAAGTCAGCACCCAATTACGTCGAGGATCCAGCCAAGAGTGACGCCTATCCACAGCAGAAGATTTCTCCTGGTGATTTCCAGTTGCTGCTGCTGCTGCTGATGCTGAGGGATTTTAGCAACGGACCAGATTTTTTCAATATGCGGTGCAGTGCAGGTGGGAATCTCCGCGATCGCCGAGGCGCGAGTTTATCGTACTTTTTGAACCTGGGGTGCCACGGTTCCTTTACCACAACACTGGGTCACGGATCAGATTGCCAGATTGCATCGTGCCATGGTCAGATCGATTAGATGGGCCACTGCGGCCGTGCTATAACGGCCAAGTTCAATGTTTGCCTATCAGACATCAACAAGCGCCCTTTGATAGGCATGCAACGAACCGATTGCCCAACGGGCCACCCTAAAGACAAGCAAACTTGTACGACGGAAGTTTCGAAGGGCGACGGGAGCAACCGCGTTGCCGAAAGTTTGCTAATAACCGTCGTGGGTCTCGCCCGTCGCACCCTACCTACTTGGTAACGGCCGCCTTTGTTTCTTCCATCGGCTTTTACGATTCAGCATTGCGGTCAAATTTAGCAAGCTCCAGGTCGCAAGAGCCGACAGGATATGGCGCCAAAGCGACGGGACGTTGCGCACAGACTGAAATCCGACAGAGAGGAAAGGGATGCGTGCGAATCTTAGTCGTATTTTCTAGGAGCACGCCACACGCCGCAGGCTTTAGTCACGAGTACCGAAGATGTCAGGGAAGACCCAGACATGGCAGAGGGGAAATGGGATTTTTGATCAATTGTCTCTTTCTGATGAAAAGTTACACAGAGAGACGGAGGCTGGCTGTTTGAGATATGACGAAAGGTAGGACAAGGCAGGGAGGGTTCAGTTCAGTGGGAGGAAGAAAAGGCGATTCTCAAGATCGAGCGAGACCAATTCTTAGCGCTGCCTATGTATCGCCAGGCCCTGGTCCCGGCGGCGTCTCCCCCGGGCCCCCGGAGAAGATGGGACCCACTTTTGGCATGGGTCTACGGGGATCTCAAAAATGGAAGCGGCGGCGGTCGGGTAAGGCGCGGCTTCCCAGGATGGCATGCCGCACACGCTATCGAGAGCACCGTCCACACTGTGAGCCGCACACAGTACAACCACCTGGGCCACACAAGGCTACTACGCAGTAGGCACTCACCTTACCTTAGGAACTCCGTACCTTCCGGAGTACCTTACCTACCTTTAGCACCTATGAATACATTGGCCTTAGCGCCTGCATCATTTGAACCCACTTCCATCCATCACGAACCACTCAACGTCAACATCATCCTCTTTTCTTTCTGCAGACTGCTGCCCACAGAGTTATATTTTCTTCCTACGTACGAAACCCCCAACCTGCCGAGAGATTAGACGTCATCATCAAAGGGTTCAGCCAGCCGACGAATCGCGGTTCAACCCCCAGTATCCCTCATCCTAGTTTATCCCCGCCAACTCTCACGTGGGTTGATCACCAGGGCTCCAACGACATCTCTCGGAGCACAAAACAAGCGCAACAACGATTTGCAGACTCGATTCGGCCAATATTCAACAGCCAATCAACCGCTTGACATAGCAACTTAACCCCGTCCAACGTTTCTCGCAAACACCAGCCTGTCGGCGCCTACGCCTCCCTTCTCTGCCACGCCACTTTGCTACATAGTAGCGGAAGCCTCAGTTGTGTCCCAGACAGCCGTCAGGAACCATAAGCCACCTGATATTACTTGGCCCGCTGCACATCATCCCGAGAAACACGTTCCATTGTTTCTGTACATACGGCACAGCACGAACCCATTCGGTACTATAGGGGTATACCATGGGGAAATCCAAAAACACAACCGCCGGCAAGACAAAGCCCGGGCCTGGAACTAACAATGGCGGCAACGCAAAGTTGACGACAGCCGCCTCGATTCCCGCCTCACCGCCCGCATGGCCCCAGTTCAAACCGCCGTTACCGGTTACCGACCTAGCTGCCGACCAGCTCGTTTCTTGTCCGGACAAGGTCGTCCTGATTCGCAACTTTTGGCCAAAATCCCTCTGCGGTTCCTATGTCACTTTTCTGAGGGGTTTACCGCTGATCACTACCCCTGGTCGGCCTAAGCGGGGAGAAGCGGTTAGAGTGAACGACCGTTTTCAAGTGCAGGATGCTGCCTTTGCTCGACGCCTGTGGACGGAGACTGGACTGCGCGAATCGCTTGCCCAAGAAGACATCCAGGGTTTATGGTGAGTCCACTATCTTCTGTTCCAACTCCCCTAGTCCCTACCTTACCTACCCATCCACCGGCCCTCCGAATGTACCCTTGCCACGAACAACGCATCCCACGCGCTTCCGGCTAGATCCGCCAGCGTCTGCGCACAATCAAATACATCCATCCAAAAACAGTTATAACAAACATGAAACCCACGCAGAAGAAGAAACCGCCTGTGTGGAGGTCTTTTCGCTACGGCTGAGCTGAGGGCTTGCCATGAGACTTACTAACGTGGATCGACTGCTCTAGGGGCGGTGAAGTCGTCGGTCTGAATCCCAATATTCGCATCTATCGTTACTCCAAGGGCCAGTATTTCGATGCACATTGTAAGTCTCATAGTCAAATCATTCTCTTGTCACCCAACGCCACACGCGCCGCGAGCACTAGGCGTTCTGCCAGTCAACCAACAAGATTTCCGCCGCTCTATGCAACTAGGCCAGTGGCTAAGTGCTCCGAGGGCCTCGCGCGATTGCCATAGGCTGCACATATTTGTCACTGCTTGAAAGACTGCGATGTGCCAGAGCTCTACGAGCCTTTGTCTTAGGGACATGGCCATGCTACCTACTTCTCATGACATCAACGAAGAGCTCTCTCCACAGCGATACTTCTGAGCCCCCAGCGCTGGGTTGCAACGAGACCGTTGCGAAGTCACTGTCCCCGTCCTAGAGGACATGCCACAATACCCGTCACTAAGCAGATTGTACGAGGATTTGGTCATGCTCGGTCTATACGTTTCCCCCTTCCCATGACAATTACTTTCATCGACCCATTCCTGTGGACACCATCTTTTACCACAGTTCCCTTCCTATGCATGTCTCAACCACCTCGAATCCAAGACCCATGTCTATGAAGCAGGTCGTGACTTTCGGCTCTGCATGAGAAACCTGCTGAAAGATGCGAATTCGTTGAACCACTGGGCTTTGAAGAGACGATTTGGGGACCCACAACAAGTGTCTGGACCAACGATCTGCCCTTCAGATGATCATATATGATATATGATATCTTGTCTCCTCCGCTCAGTCCTCTTTTGTTTGCAATCTTCCCAGTCATCACGATCTTTCATCCGAGCACCAGAGACCCAACGATTTGTCCCAGAAGCCACAACCCTGCGGATCGTTCCATCCCGATCCGCTTTATGGCGTTATCTCCCCCTGGATGATGTGGGAAGCTGAGTCCGGGAGCCTGCGAGTCCGATCCAGCGATGCCCCTCGACATCTCGCATCTTCCTATCCAAACAAGAAACTCGGCACTGAGAGAACCAGGGCCACCATGCTTTCCTTGTCTTCCGGCGACCCTATGGTGTTTTCCTCTTCTGAGCTCTGACTCTTTTCTTCTGTACCCTTTCTTTCACTTGTCTTCCGTGCATGCTTCCTCATCTTCATCTTTAAGATCAACCTGGACTGACCATTGGACCCCCACTTACAGACGACGATTCCAATAACGTATCACTCAATCTCGACCCCTCCTCCGGACCCGTCACGTGCAAGACAACCTGGACGCTGCTCCTCTATCTTACCTCTTCCGCCGAGGGCTGTGTTGGCGGCGAGACCGTCTTCTTCCCCAACGACCGCCGCTCCGCCAAGGAGGAGATCCCGGTCGCCCTCGAAACGGGCATGCTCCTCTTACACAAGCATGGCGACGACTGCATGCTGGTAAGTCTCTTCTGTTCAGAAATTTCAGCCCTTCAGTCCTCCGTACTTTCAAAAACTCCATGCGTCCTCCCCTGATCCCCGAACGAACCATGGTCATAGCCAGATGCACCTGAACCTGTCGTTTTTTGTGCAACATTGACCGTTGCCACTGCGATGTATTCGTTGGCAATTTGCTCTCATGTACCTTCTTTCATTGCTTTTAGTGGCGCGAAACGAGGACCCAACCGCGGCCACCTCAGCTGCGGCCTCACCTCTCCATCTCTCTGCCTCTTCCTTTCTCACGCTCTCTGGCTGTGCCCCAATCCCATCACTCCAAAGTTCCCCTCCCAACCACCGAACTCGATATGCCCGCTCTGCACCACGGTACCACCTGGCAACCTGGGCAGCACAACAAAACCCCTGCATCCCTCCCGCCTACACCACCTGTCCTTTGATCATTTTTTTCTTACCGTACCTGGTCGCGGCGAAGGCCACTGCAGACTGACACATGTTCCACTTATCAACAGCACGAGGGGCGCGAGGTCAGCGCAGGCGAGAAGTGGGTTTTGAGAACAGACCTTTGCGTCAGGAAGTGAAGAAAGAAGGGGAGTGAGAGAGAGGGATTTGCGATCAGCAACATGACCATCAAGCAACATCCATACTCCCCTGTCTTCTTCTGCTTCTGCTTCTACTTCGACTTCTTCTTCCTCCCGATCCGCCTTTTTTGTCTTCTCTCATGCCCGCTCGGACGTGGAGCAACCGAAGAAGCTAAAGAGCACACGTCGTTCTCGGTTTCTTTTGCGCTCCCCTTTCCTCGTTCCTTGCCCGCCTCCCCGTCCCCAATCCACTGCCTTGGTACCAGTCATCGCCACGCCACTATGAGAACGTCACTTTCGGGTCCCAAGACAATGATGAACCCCGTCCGAGCACGGAATCGTCGCGGGATCCTGCTGTTCTTCTTTTCCCCTCTTATTTGATCAGATATTGCTGGATCGTACGGAGAAGTGGAAATATAATGTTGCAACACGTCTGTTGGAAGTGGGACCACCACGCTTCGACAGTGCGCTGGCCTCTGGGTCAAGTGATCTCGCGGTATGCATGCTGCGCCCGATTAGGTTTTGCCGTTTGATCGACGATTTGTTGTGGACAGACGTGGGCAGGGCAGAACAGAACAGAACAGAACAGACAAGTCTGTACTCTGTAGTCGTTCGTTATCGTTGGGCTTGGCTAGAACATGTGGGAAGAACGTTGGAGACATGCAGGTCACACAGGCTACCTAGGTGAAGGAGAAAAGGACACTGGCTACGAAATAGCTATGGGACATTTGCATCCGGAGGATTACCGGTGGGAGAGGAGGGGACAATGGAGTAAATCTGATGCCCCAATCGCAACTCGACATTTCCACGCCTTACTTGTCTACATTCAGACAGTTTAGTCAGGTCCAACAGAAACACACTCAGTGACACCCCATCCCGAATGTGAAAACGGTATTGACATCGCCTGTGCCAAGTAGATGTTCCCCTTTCCCCAAAGGTGATGACATTGACGATCCGGAAAAGCCCGTCTATACGGCCCTTCTTTCTCTTGGACGTTTCCCTAATTCCCCATACCTCTCCATCCTCCTACTCAAATTCTGTCCCGCCCGTCGCTCGCCCGCCGCCCTGCCGCCCAATGTTTCCTTTTTAGACTGATGTGCACGAATTTGGATTGGACGGCCACCGGAAGGGGGGGGGGGGCAGGCAGAATGCGCAACCCCCCTTTTTTTTCCTCCCCCCACGCCGTGCTGCCTGATTACCTAGACGTAAGGTACGAATACGTTTGTTTCTGCGGCCACGACCATCACGAAGCCCCTTCTATTTTCATTCATCCCCCCCCCCCCTTCTTTCCATATGATGTTTCTTCGGGGCTGTCGAAGCATTGAAACGAAGCAATGGAACCTGGAAAAAACGCACTGCACATCCGGCAAACGTCCCGCCGGCTCCCCGAACGGCATCGGGGCAAGTAGGGCTACATTTCAAAGTCACCTCCCCTCCCCCCCCAATCCCGTTGAGCCCTGGCTACTTTCCCGCGACAACGCAACGTGAACCCAGCCCACACCCACGCTCACTCACTCGCCTGCCTACCCTCCATCGGTACGGGAAATCAAGGATCTATCCGTACTCAAGACACGAGCCGGGGACGGGACTTCACCACCCCCTGGGCCCGTAAGGTCACAGTGGCATTTGGGAAACGGGCGATTTGTGCGTCAAGAAGCGAAGCTCGTTATTGTTGTGCATATCTACCTATCTGCGTATGAGGAAGAAGTCAAAAAGTGAGAGGCAGAGTCGCCTGACGGGTGTGTCCCGGAAAGTATCGAGACCCAACCGTGAAAGAGAAAAGCCCTCGCTCTCCGTTATCGCTCCTCCTCCGGTTCCTCCGTTGTCGATGATTAATGACTCCCATTACGGGAATGACATGTCAAACGCCCGTGTCGCAGCAGAAACAAGCCATGGCCGGCGCCGCATTACCCTTAGATCAAGGCACTCTCCATCAGTCGGTCCATGGCGTCCATGACAGTGTCTTCCTCTTCGACGTGTATCTCTTCCTCCTGGCCAGTAGTAGCATCGCGGTCCTCGGGTGACGGTGAGACTCCGGAAGACCCCTTCATGGTGCTTTCAAATACCTCCAATAGGTCACCGTGGTGCACCACTCTGCCGTCATCGAGCTGAGTCTCCTGTTGGGTGGCATTGTCATCTTGCCCGAATCGACGAATAGGGTACGACCTCATAGGCACCGCCTTGGCTTCGGGGTCGACGGTAGGCTTGATCTTGACTTTGCCTGTAGCAATGCGCCCCATAATCCAGTGAAAGATCCACGGGAAGCTGATCAGGGGCATTGATTGTCGCTTGTGATCTTCGTCTTCGTACTCGTCTGCAAGCGCTGCATTGACCTCTTGCTCGGTCACTTGATACATTGCAGCCACGAAAGGGGCGAAGTCTTCGAACCGTCTGCTTCCGGCCTCTGTGTAGCAAATCTCTCGGAATCTTTGCTTGAGGGCTGCTGATTCTCGACCAATGTCCTCTTGCTGCTTGTAGTCGCTGCCAACCCGGGGTTTCGACAGGATGAAGCCTGTCCATGCTTCGAATTCGGTGTGAACGTCGCGATGACTCATGAGACGGCGCATAGCTGTGTCGTATTGACTTTTGATCTTGCGAGCCTTTTGTAAAAGCTCTCCAGGCAGTTCAAACCTTTTCAACACCCTTCCGTCGAATTTCTTCTCGTAAAGAGGGTTGAGCTCCTGCTCAACGATTCTGTCGAAGATCTTGCCAAGCGCAGTCCGGGATCTGTATGTTCTAGGTTTGTTCATGAAGTGCGGCCACTGTTTAGGCTCGAGCTCGTCAGGATATTCCGCTGGATCTGCAGTTTTGACGTAGTCCACCGCCTTGGAGTGCAGCTCTGCCAGCCTCAAGCCTAGAAGCTCGGTGTCAATTTGCGTCTCCTATTACTCGCGGGCAATCAACTCACATTTTTTGTCGTTCGCTCCTTGTTTAGAGAAGTCAGCGTGAGCTAGATGCGCAATTGCAACCTTGGCCAGACAGTCGTTCTGAATATAACGAACGAAGAATGTTCTCAGATCTGATACCTTGACATCTCGCTTTAGTTTCGGGGCTTTGGGTGCGATGTAGTTCATAGGCGAGTGGTGCCAGTTCTTGGGAATGAGGTCTTGGTTCCAGATGACGAAGAAATCATCTCCGTCAAGGTCACCCCCCGAGCACATGCTGGGGACATCTCGATCACCGGTGCTCGGAAACACCACAACATTCTGGAGGTGGTGGAGGTCAGGGATATCAACTGCTTCCACAACACGGATATCGCCTGGATGAAGTGAAGGGTTTCGTCCAACAATGCATACGCCGGTGACGCAGTAGAATGTGCCATCTTGGAGATTCGGAATCCGAAGGAAGATCTGCGGCAAGTCCTCGATGTTGTTGGTATTTTTACCCTCAGTTGCCTGACTGTGGCCTCTCAACGTGCCTGTCTCATCTAGGCAGCCGAGAAGAAAAGCGCTTTGATTAACGACCACGCGCGCCTTTTCCTTCAACAGCTTCATAGACCAGATTCGCCAGAGATCCAGAATTGTCAGAACGAACGGCTCTTGAATCTCTGCATCCATGAAGCCCCAGCAAACAAGGTCTTTGATGGTTAGAGATGTCATGTTCTCGTCAATGTATTGCCCCAGTAAGCTTGCAGCGGCGACTCGGTCTTTCATAGCCTTCTCGTAGCCCTGGATTTGTTGTTCAGCAAGATCCAAGATCGGACTGTCCTTGACACCGAGCGTTGTGAGAATGGTTATGGTTTGTCGATTCAGCGTGGCTGGTGAGAACTGCGCAAACTTGATGATTTCTAGGCCGTTGAACTGGGCCCTGAACTTTTCTTGTGAAGGTCGAATATGGACGTTGAGGCCCTTTGCGTCAGGCCAGACAGCCAGCATGCCTTTGCAGCCACCCATGCGAAACTGGAAAGCAGAGGGTATTCCGGCCGTATCCTGGCCCATCTCATGGACTACCATTTCGGCCAATAGCTTCGAAATTTTGCCGACACCATCGCTGAAGCAATAGCCTTGACGCTCGATATCTTGCATTTGTACGATCTGAGGAACAGTGACACCTCGGATTTCTCGCGTTGTAGAGAAGCACTGGCCAATACGAGCAGCGTATTTGGCGACATTCTTGATATGGTTGAAATGCCCCATCCAGTCTCGGATCTGATCGCATGAAAGATGATCGGTCGGACAGAAGAAGTAGGCAGCGCACTCTCGGATTTGCGAGTTTCCAAACGCAAGGAATTCGTAAGTGCGGTTGCCAATCTTGATGCCTTGCTTGAGGGCACGGTAAATGCGGTGGTGGATTTCGTTGCCTGCATCGCTGTAGATCTTGCCTCTGTACAGCTCGTCCGTGAATTGAACTCTCAAGAAGCGGTCTTGGTAAGAGTTATACTTTCGCAGTACCCTATTGGAGGACTCGACGCTTGGAGAGCAAAGGTGCATGGTCGATGGTGTGACAATGACCTTTCGGATCGTGGTGCAGTAGTATGGCATACTCATGCCAGGAAAGTAAAGGGCAGCCTCTTCACTCTCAAACATCTGCATCGGGTTCCACTCCCTTTTTCCTTGATCCGCAAAGTACTCGAGCATCCACTTCGCCCGGTCCTTGTCCATCTGACACAGTCGGTCGATGAATGCCTGGCTGATGGAGTACTCTGATAGAATGCCCCGTGAGATACAGACCTCAAGCTGGTAGTGGACCTCGAAGGGCAATTGGTGGTTATCGGAATCAGAGTCAAGAAATCGCATTCCACTTTCGGGGGCTTGAGCTCTAAACACAGTACCGAGCAGAGGACGTCGCAAAGAGGTAATCACAAAGTGCTCTGCAGTAATGGCCGTGATGTTGTGGGCATCTAAAGCCTGCAGGAGTTTCTCTAGAATGCCGTTTCCAGCCTTTGGGATCGCGAATCTGTAAGTGGTCCAGCGACCAGTATTGATGAAGTCAGGATCTTCGAATTCTGACTGAAGTGTGATTGGAAATTCTTTCGGCAGTTGATCGTTGTGCAATATGGCTGTGCGCCTTTCCCACATGTCCGTAATGCCCCATGAAGTCTTGCCCACAGCCATTCTGCTTCGCATCTTCCTGCTTGCCTTCGTCCAGAACATAGGTGGAAGCTCTAACGGTATGACCAGAAGTGTGTCTTCATCTCGATCGACTTGATAAACTCTAGTGAGGCGGGCGAACTCGATTCCGCACTTGTGGTGAAATATCTCGTCGTCGTCGTCGTCGTCGTCGTCGTCGTCGTCACCGTTCTGGTCTTCCGATGAGTCCAGAGGACAAGTATCGAAGTAGATGGTAAGCTTCTTCTTGGCCAAGCTCATGTCGATGTGCACGCTCTTGTGGACGGATTTGAAAACCATCATCTCCCATTCCTGTAAGCGCGTGCCAAAGTCCATACGTTCCGCTTCAAGTATCATCTTGGAATCGAACCAGATATTGGGATTTGAGGGACTCTTGATCAAATGAGAATATCTTTCATGAGGCGCTCGGAAAGGCTGGAGGGTGACACGGGCGCTCTTGCCTCTTTTGTACTGGACCATATGGAATCCTGACGACCAGAAGTTGACTTTGGGTGGAGGCTCAAAACGAATCCGGGCGTATCCATCGCGTTGGCCATTCTGGTTCTCTCCGATCTCTAGCAAAGAGATACTTCCATATTGTTTGAAGGAGTCGTATAGCTCAGATAGATCGACGACTTCGGGAAGGCAACGAACTTTCAGTGTGAACTCCGGCCATGTACGCCAAGGTTCATCTGTTTCTCCCATGATGTGGAATGTGTGCTAAAAGCCAAGGTCAGCAGAGTTGATTGTTATGCCGCGCAAGATTCATTTTAAACACTATTGTTTGAGGATGAACTGTACCTGCCTGGTGACGTACCAGCACATTTGTTTTCTTGGTCCGTCGTGGTTCGCTAAGGTGAGGACGTAGTTCGTAAATAGCTATCAGCTGCGGGTATGTACTTGGATGGGTTGGCCCTAAGAAGATAGCCGGGGCGAAATTCCTCAAATGAAGTCAGAGGAGAAGGTCGAAGTCGAGGGCTCGAAGGGTGAGGTGAGTTTGAAGGGCAAAGATGGGCGTGGAGGATGGGGACAAGGCTGGGGGTAAAGTCCAGGGGAGGAAGGCACTCTGAGCCCGTGACACTTTAGGTGTGAAGAAGGAGCGAAGACCGGGAAGTTGACTCCCTCTTTCCTTAAATCAAACGTTCCTTCCTACCTTAGATTGAACTTGGTTAAATTTTCCAATTTTCTTTGCCCAAGCACTTTGCATGCAGCTACCCGCTACCCACCACAATCTCCAATCTTGGCTTGATTGCCCGCTCTCATTTCATCTCCTACTCGGTTCTACACATCATCATCATCCTCATCATCGGAAGTTTTCTCTGATATCAAATGCAAATTTCATCTCGAATTTTAATCATGGTCCGACTGAGCTGTCGATCCTACGCTTCTCATAGGCTAAGACAGCAACACAACGGCAACGACATGAATAGCTCCTGGTGAATCAAAGAACACAGTCTGGCATTCAGTCTTTATCATGTAAAATAACGGCAGGCCTCCCTAAAACTTTTTTTATCCTGTGCTTGGTATGGTCCCCTTTCTGGTCGTTTCAGGCACCTAAGTAACACATTTTGGACAGCAGATCAGAGAACGATTCCCATAAGCCCAACCCCAGAGGCTTGTGTGATGACGGATTTTCCATGACGTCCTTACGCAGCCCTATATAGTCGTCTTTTCACGAGAATAACCCAGCCCTCGGCGATAGCAACCGGCCTTGGTGACATCCCATATCAACGGGTCTCAGGGCTATACCGAGAAACCTTGGTTCGTCCTTGAGCCCTCGGGAATGTCCATGATTTTTCCAGGGTTCATGATCCATTTCGGATCGAGCGCACGTTTGATCGACTTCATTACGTCGAGGGTATCGGAACCGACTTCAAGAAGCAGAGACTCTTTCTTGCCCCAGCCGATCGAATGCTCGCCCGTACACGTTCCATCCATATCTATTGCTCGCTTCACCATGTTGTGGACGCACTTCTCGACCTTCTCCCGCTCTTCAGGGATCGTCCGGTTGTAAATGATACTTTCGTGGAAGTTACCGTCGCCGATATGGCCGAGGATACTTGCAAACAACCCCATGTCGTCCATCTCCTTCTTGCTGATCTCGATGAGGTCCGCCAGACGGCTGAAGGGGACAGCGACATCGGTACTCCCTATGCGTTGTAAGTCTTAGGATTCTCGTACTGGTCAAGAAATAGGATGGGCCACTCACAAACTTCTTCGCCATCCTTGCGAAGGGCCAGCATCGACCATAGTGATTCTTTTCGAGCAGACCATAGCAACTTCTGCTCGAGCGCGTCCTTTGCGAATTCAAAGTTACCGCCCTTGTGATTCTTGGTGATCTTCTGAACGAGACCAATGTTCTCCTTGACACCGGCCTTGGTACCAGAAAACTTGAAGAATAGGGTCGGGAGTTCCTGCCAAACACGAGGCGCTGTTGCGCCACCCAGGTTGACGACTTTCATCTGCACCTCGTCCATGATTTCCATCGCCGCCACGGGAATGCCATTGCGCATGACTTCGGCTGCGGCCGCAGCAGCGTCTCTGATACTAGGGAATGTAACCACAGCAACTGAGAAGTCTTCGGGCACAACAGTGAGCTTTAGGGTTGCTAGAAGCGGTTAGCAAACACTCAAGGAAGCCAGGTCATCTGCCTATTCCGACTCACCTTCGGTTACAAGGCCCAGTGTTCCCTCAGATCCTACGAATAGTCCGTTTAGGTTGTAGCCGGCAGAAGACTTTCTTGGCCGTCTCCGAGTCTTGACCACAGTTCCGTCTGCCAAAACAACGGTAAGGTTGATCACCCAATCCTTCATGGTTCCGTATCTAACGGCGTTGGTTCCCGAGCAGTTTGTACCGATCATTCCACCAATCTTTGCGCTAGGGCCTGTTCTGTTGTCAATCCTAAACATCTTCATCATGGCAAACACTGCGCTGATTTTTGGCTTACCAGGGTCGATAGGGAAAAAGAGACCGCTCTCCATTTTTGCCAATTTTTCGTTCAAGTCTTGCCATCCGATACTCGGCTGAACAACGATGTCCATATCATCCTTATTGAAGGAGAGAATCTGGTCCATAAAGGCAAAGTCGACGCTGATACCTCCGTAGGGTGCCGAGAAGTTTCCTTCCAGACTGGAACCACCCGAGTAAGGAATGATGGGGACGTTGTACTTGAAGCATACCCGTGCAATCGTCGCCACCTGGTCTGTTGATCGCGGGTATGCAACAGCCACGGGAAGGCCATCAGGATTGGTTGAGGACCATTCAGAATACCCATGGGCATGCAAGTCGTCGGGGTCAGTGGAGATAATATCCTCTCCACCTAGCTCCTTTCGAATTTCCTTCAAAGCCTACACGCCGAGTTAGAAGCAGCAATCATTATTATACTGGGATGCGAATACCTGCTCCATTTCAGCCATGCTTGCATAAGTCACCGGGCGAGACAGACCGTCTGAAGATAGCAGACCACTCCCAAGAGGGAGAAAGCCAGCGGTGGCAGAATTGCCCTTTGTCGAACTAGCAAGACCCCAGCCAACGGCACCGGCGGCCAAAGCAACAGCCCAGACTGAATTACCATGCCAACCACTTTGCGCGGTGTTGGCCGAACCTTCGGAGCCGGCGTGGGGGCTGCTTCGCCGGATGGTCGTGGCCGAAAAGCTCCGACCGGCACGGAGAGCGGGCCCAGCGAGTCGGCCCCTTAAGCCATGGCTCAGAAGGGGCCTCGCAGAGAGTTTGGCCGACATGCAGGGGATAAGAGCCATCTACACGGACACAAATCGGATTCCCCAAGGAGAAAGTCTGCTATTGGCCAAGAGGTCGACCAGGGTAAGATGCTGGAGTCGACAGGGTTTAGTGGTGGGTTGCGTCGGCGAGATGGCTTGCGTCGGCGTTCGAGGTTGATATCGGTCTGCGCTGCTTCTGACTTTGTGCCGAGAACTTCGAATCAAACTGTGAGTCGTGAATAGGGATTCCTAATGTCCGGAGTATAGTACGACGCGAAAGCCAGCCAGATACCGGTTTGTCAAATGACGGCGATACAGAGGTCTACCGAATGGCCCTTTGCCAGAAGCGTCCAAGTATAGCGCGAAAGCGAGACCGTGGCAACCAAAGTCGGGATGGTGAACCTGGCAAAAAGAGGGAGACGATGTGTTTATATCAGGGAGCGAGCGAAATCGTCGACCACATATCCCAATCCACAGCCAATGTCGCAATCGCCCACGAAGCAAGCTAAGAAGCTGAGTGTTGGGGCAAGTGGGTATGGTGGATGACAACGGGGCCCTTCGCCTTTAACAGCGATGCTGTTCTTTTTTTGTGGAAGAAGTTGAGAGCATGACCCGGACGTCAAGTACCTGGGCGTACCGCATCCCACATTGGGAACAAGGTGCAGACAAAGCAGATGGAGTGGGTGCAGAGACGACGTTCTTGCAACCAATCATGACACTGGAGAAGGGGAATACAGGCCCAAAAAGTCAAGAAGTCAAGAGCCGGCGGGCTAGGAAGACGAAAGCATGGCTAGCGAGTGAGCAAAGGTGGTAGCCCTGGATAGTCAGCGGGGGTGAGACTCTGGACTTTTCCACGATGAGGTACTTTGCAATACCTCGCTTCACTAGCACCAGTCCAGGCAAGCTTCACATGTGGAGCGGCGAGCTTAGATTTGCCATGTTGCTGCTACTTCGTAGAGACGCAACAAAGAGGACGAGATCGGGCCTGGATCCGGGGACAGGCGGGGAAGACGCCGAAGCTGAAACATTCCGAAGTCGTCGATGTTCTCGGTGAACGGTACTTTTCCCCGCGGAGCGACACGGCGAAGATAGACGAACAGATTTGATACAGATTCGCGACCTCTCCGGGCGTGATGTAGCTCAGCATTTCACAGCGACGCTGGGTGACGGCTTGAAATTCAACTAATCAGCAACAAGAACAGGGGCATCGGAGTTGACGCGGAAAAGGAGGCCGGCTTCGAAGGTCTGACTGAGTATGAACACGAGCTCGATAATGGACGAAAGTAGAGCCTTTCACGTCATTAGTAGGAACTGATGCTGGGTTGTGATGCAGGTGTGACCCCCGTTTCGTGGGGTGGCTCAAGCTACGATGGATGGGGGGCAGCAACAACCTTCCGCAGTTGGTCTGCTACTGTAAGTCTGATTACCAACAGCATCCCACCCTTTGGGTTGGACTTCTCACCGACGTAATCGAATTTCACGGCAAGGGTAGCCGCAAAGCACCACTGGCAAGCGAATCGAATGTCGAGTTCGGAAGGCTGACGGACCTCGTGTCCGAAGAATGCCCTGCTGCCCTTGAGTTGTACGACGGTGAGACGGGGCAAGACGAGACTGATGATGTCTGGCAGACTCGAAATGCCACTGAGGAAGTGAATGCAGGCGAACTGGCGTACCCCCAACGAAGAGCATGGGTACAGGGGGCCGAGAAAATTTCAATCTCTTCCCATGACCACGATTTCCAGCCTCTTATGAGCGACAAAAGGGCCCTGATTTCTGACGAACCCCCGCGCACCGGCCTGGTCGGTGTAGAGTCCGCAGTGGGTCTCGCACGAGGGGTAACGGTGGCCCACGGTGACCGCCGAGGACGCAGGCCGTTGGCCTCCGGGGCCAGCCAAACAAGACGTTCGTGAGGGTGCCGCTTGCCGGCTGGAATATGTCTTCTCGTCTGCGCATATGAATGCAGGTTTCTGAGCATCCTCTCACAGAGGTAATCCACTGCGAGGTCGCACTCGCTTGGTGGATCAAGGGCGGGCACGGGGTCTGACAGTCTTCCAGCGGAAACTGTACGAAGAGGAGTGTTCCGAGATGAGGGCCTTGGGTGCTAGCTGTCCCACCTACTGGGTGAGTGTGCCCCGGAAGTCCGTTCCCGATGGCAGCGCCGACACGGAGGTTTTCCGAGGTCAAGATAACAGAACCCACAGTAGGTAGACGCATACACAGTATGCGACGAAGCAGGCAAGCAAAGCAGCTCAGCCTCTCGTTCCATCTGCAGTGGATGACAACTCTGTCATCTGACCTCCAGAAGACAGGTTGGCATAAGCTTAATGGCTTCTTGAGCTCTCGTTACGGGCGGAGGTGGTAAGCAATTACATTGACCCCAACAACCACCTTAACTACTTTTCATTAGGAGACACCATCAAGATTTTGAGTTACGTCAGCGAAGCGTCCAAGGTGCATACATACCCCAGACCAGACGTCACACACGGTGAGACTCTGGCTTTGCGGAACCATTGCCCTCTCCCAAAGCCAATTAGATATCATGTTGTCTTCTCTTACAAGAAAGACGGCGGTATAGTTATTAGTTACGAAAAGGGGTTCTCATCCCCAAAGTGTGCTGCTTCCGATGATGAACCGCCACTCTTTCAACGCCCGCTCAGCCCTCCTGTCGACCTGCCCAAAGGATTTTCAGTGCATCAGTAGATGCGTACCTCCCACGCCGCAAGCCTGCAACGCAACCCCCCTTGCTGCTAGCCATGCGACCCCAACAATCGATGAGATTCGATCATCGGCCTACCTAAATCAAGGTAGCCTGAATGCTGCATGGACTTCCAGGTACTCAGGCCAGGGTCGGAAGTCGGATGTCCCAGGCCAGGAAAGCCGTTCGCAGGGCTTTCCTTCTCATTGCTCCTCTACTGAGAGTCAATCGGTATCACAGAGCCCATCTCACGGTCCTAATCCGCGCGATTATTAGCAGTAGACAGTGGTGGTATGATAGCTTCGGACTCGCACCTAAGAATGGTTACCTGCTCTGATGAATTTGATTAATCTCAGCGTGCCCATGGTAATTGCAAACTCTGCTCGAAGCTGCCATCAGCCACGAGAACACTTACTTGACGGTCCACATGCCGTGGAGTCTCCGTAACGTACAAACATGCGGATTCTAGAACAAAGCAGGGAAACAACGCCCTGTACCCGGGGGGAACTGCATCGTATCCCCCGCACGCCCGCGACTGGTTGCCTGTGTCTCACATTCGGCGGCAAAGTCGCCGGAAGGCATGTTGTTCGCCGCCTACCTGGTGGTGTTCCTTCTTGCCAAAGCCTGGCAGGGCGTGTTCAGGGTCCACCCAGTGAACGAAACAAACCAAGGTAGCTTTCAGTCAAACATCGCCTATGCCTCCTTCCTGAACCTTCAACGTGTTCCATTAGGCTTCATATCAGAGCATCGATATCTTTTCGAGATTGCCGCAAGGGTCTTGAAGGAAACAGCAGGTGGACTTTTGCGTTTCGTCAACGCCCTGTGTAGCACATACCTAGGCTCCAAGGCTAGACTCTGCTGGTGGGTTAGGTTCTGGGCAGTGCGGGTGTTACGGCGGGGTTGGGTAACCACAAATGGCGGGGGGGATGTTCCACCTCCACAAACGCAAGTTTTGACAACGAGAAGTTGGTAGCCGAGAAATATTATGGATATTTCAGTGCCCTTCGGTTCAGGTCACGCAGAATTCGAACATGAAGTATACATAGTATTCGTCCGCTCAGACGCTTAGCAGTAAAAATAAATTAGGAGACGAGGTTGATTTATCCACCTCCCAATATACACACTGGCGAACCGTGTCCGGAGAAGGAGGTTTTGGGATCCGTTGTATTGATTTTTTCTTTCTCTTTTTCATTCTTTGCTCAGGCACAAGCCGTCTTGTTGGAAATGCTTCGCCGCTTGGGAGTTCCAACACGATTGTGAGTTGTGACGGAATTCTCCATGGAGCGTTTCAGTTCGCCATCATCGTTCCTAGGTCCCTGGGCGCCCTTTACCCCAGAGTCAGGACCAAAAGTTCGGGGTATCGGAATTTTCAGCGAGGACGAGAAATCTCGCATCCTCCCCCTTTCCCTCCCCGGTGAGAGTTATGCAGTATTACCCCTTCAACAGCAAGAACGAAGAGGTGTGCAATGTCGCGTTTCGTAATACAATGACCAATCGATTTGGGGGAGGCCACGGTGAGAACTTTCCACTGGAGTAGGTATGCAGACAACACTACCCAGCTACCCTACCATCTTACCTACCTTAGCATCCTGCTGCCCGGGGAATTGGCTCCCCCCCCCCCCCCTTCCCTCTCCTTCCCCTTCCCCGCAGCCATCAGGTACGAGGTAGACATACAAACACACCTCAGAGGAATGAGTGTGTGTGTGTAAGAATGCTGCACAGTACCTACCTATGTCTAAACGATCTCGTGGCTTTAGGCCAAACGCGGACTGCCGTGGTGAGCCTGCGTCATACAAGCATGCAGCAGAGGGCACGAGACCGTTTTACTTTGTTGCGGTGGTTGCGTGTGAGCTGAGTGGTTCAACTGGTTTTTGGGCCCTTGGAAACTTGGCGATGTAACTACAGCTCTTTTGTGTTCTTCTCTTTCTCTCTCTCTCTCTCTCTCTCTCTATTCCTCTTCCTTCCGGTGGCTGTGTATCTTGGTAGAGTAAAACCCCGCGCT